TCGAAGAATCGTCAAACTCTCCTATTCGAATATATAATATTATATTATATGACATGCAAACAATAAGTTAAATGTTAGACGTTAGTACATTATTTGTGTTTACGATCTACCTGTAAATGTAATAGATTTATATCATTTTATCAACAAACTACACTGTTGTCTACTTAATACTTGTCTACATAATATTTTATTACCAAATGAAACCTTATTATTATACCATTGTACCTATTATAGCTTATAGGTACTAATATATAAATAAATATATACCTTATATAGGTACTAAAACATAAAATATTTCAGTTTTCACTATTAAACTTTAAGGGAAATTTATAACAACAGTAAATTATTAGGTTTATAAGTTTGATACATAAATATTTTTATTTCAATATTGTTATTTTAATAAAATAGTTAAAATAAAATAAATGATCTAATCTATTTTGATGACAGCGCAATAGAATCAATATTTTTTTAAATAAGTTGTTAATAACCCATACAGTTTTGTACATTAATTAGATTTATTAGAACGTATACTTGCAAATTACAAAAATTCTTAAGATAAAACTTCTTTAAAATTATTATATTATTTATTAATTCAATCACATCTGCAGTTGATTGAAAATATAACTATACAAGTGTTAATAAAAAATTAATATAAATTTAAAACAAACTCTTTTTTTAATTCCAGCTTACCAACAACTTATATTAAGCCTCGTTTAATAAATACTATACTATATAATAACTGTATAGTTCTATGTAGATACTATTTATTTCATGTTTTTTAAATTAGCATAAACATTTTATTGATATTTATCGAAAAAAAATAAAAAAATTTCAAATAATTATTATCTATAAGGTCTATAAGATATAATTGACTTAAAAGAATAAAATCATTTTGAAAATTTTACCATTTTAAAGCTAGATAACAAAATCGACGTCAAAAATTACGTTATATAAATATTGTAACAATTATTAAAATTACGGGGAACTTTTAATTTAGACCACCGTTCCTTATACTTTATAGTAATAACTAAAAATTCTCTATCAGAAATTACCCTTGAAAATAGAAAATTGAAGAATTTTTACTGCTTCAATAAAAAGATCAAAACGAATGTTATAAAATGTATATAAATACAAAATTTAATCATTGTAAATCCAATACATTCATTGCTCAGCTCAGAATTTAAAAATTTATTTATATTTTATTTTAATCATTACTATTTAAAAACATTTTTTAATTTTACGATAAAAACAAACTATTTTATGTACAAAAATCAATTATGAAAAGCTTATAAGTTATGACTTATTCGTATTTAAAGTTTTTGTGAGATAAGTAGTGGACTAGTTTATTATTGGGACTTGAAATATTAGAATATTATATAATAATAATAATAATGTGTCTACACTCCGTATTAATCAATTATGAAGTAATAATGTCTATACTTTAAATACTTAAAATTTATATATATATAAGTTATAGGTTAAATTTTAATTTATGACAATTATAATGACCTTTTTGTTAGAACTATACTCAGTTTAAATGATAATAATGTTGATGTATGGCTTTAAATTTCTTTAGTTTTATTGCTTTTTTATTTTTAATTAATATTTAATATTTACTTTTATTATTAATATTTTGTTATCTGCATCACTTACGTCATTTATTGCATAAAAATTACCTTTATATTATGTATAATCTTATACTATTATGTGTTAAAAGCCAATTGATATTTATATCAATAAAATAAATAAATAATTAACTACTCGTAGTTCGATTAAGTTAATTCAAATTTCAATTTTTATGATATATTGAAAATAAAAAAAAATTTCTTTCAGAAAATGAAAATGATATTGATATTCAAACAAATAAAAACTTAAAAAATAATTAAAATAAAAAAATATTTCCACAAATATTCATATTTTTTGAGATAATGTGTATTTACTGTTAAATTAATCACATATTGTTAATTATTATTCATTACCTATAGGTTATAAATAATGTATTTTATTATTATTTTCTTTTTTTTTTGTACATTTTGTAAAAGAATTATTTAATAAAAAGTGTAATAAATGTAATATATACTGTTGTATAATATATATTATGCTCGCATTAATGTTTCAATACCATATTCATTCGATTTAGTTTTCGATAACTTGTATTTATACTATCATATAGTAATTTTAGGAATCATGAATCTATGGTAAATATATATAATACAGTTAATATTTCAATAAACATATTTAACTATGCTTATTAATACTTTTAATGTTGCTATTTATTATATTATCATTTATAAATTTGCAAGAGACATATTAAATTTTCAACTATAATATAATGCATGAGCTATCTATACTAAACTAGATATTTAAAAGAGATGATATAATACAAAATGCATACTATATGAGTATAACTTTATGACGTAGGTATAATATGTCCTATATATAAATACCAATATACTACTAGTGTATTGCAATTACTATTATAGAAGCATATATTATAGTCGATTAGGGCTTCTTTATTTTAAGGTGGTGCTTACTACTTGAATCGAGTATAGATATACACTGTACACGTATATGTAAATTTAACTGTTCTATATAATATAATGTCATATACATATTAATATATGGAATCCTCGGGCTTCTTTCTGTATATTTTAATATTTAGCATATAATTGCATATAAGTGTATTATATTCTACTATATATTTGCGGCATATAGAGTTAATTAGGGTCTAAGCCTTATAGGGTTAGTAATACGATCTTTTTATTTATACCTGATAATAATTTGATAAATTCAACTGCCAATTATTATGTTAATTTTGTATAACTATTAAGTTTTGAGTTTAAATTTACATATTAGGTAACTTTAAACTCAAAACTTTACAACTAAATCTACAAAATATTTCGCTTAAAGATTGTCCATATGGCTATATGAGTATAGTAACTGTAACCATTAAGTTTCCCGTACTAAAACTCAATTATAATAGGTATTTGTATAGTTTTTACATTCTACACTTGCAGAGTAAATAAAATAAGATACTATTCACTTTTTAGTTTTATTATAGTAAACAATATCTTTAATTTACTTTATCTTATTATTTTTAAATCTTTTAATTAGGTATCATCATTAAAATGTAACAAGGCAGTTTTACGCCCAACGAAAACTTTTTTTTAAGTCAATATTGCACTAGTCTAAATTAATTCATTGTATACAGCTTGCAAGTAATTTTCAAAATTAATATTTGATTTTTTTCAAAATCCTAGTAGAGACTCCTGTTCTAAAAAGACTATAGACTATAGTAATTTAATACCATATTTAATATGACATATTGCATAATGGGAACATTCACATAAGCGTGTAATGTGTATTACGTAAAGTAGGTAGTATATAAGTATTCACAAAAAATTAAAATAGATCTAATCACACTAATATTGTTTGATAATTATTGCAGAAAGTTTATATTTTATCCTATAATAAGTAATTCCTTATTGGTTTTCAAAACTGTAAATTAATATAATATAAAAGAATTAAAAGACATACTTCAACTATTTACGATATTGGCTACATTTAACCCCGTTTACCTATATTATTTCATAACTAAATATTAAAATAAATAAAATGAGCCACGGCACATAAAATTTTACTCAAGGTATTCCTCATAGAATCGTATGGGTATAATTCATTATTATCATTTGCGATAACGTATTTCAGTATATGTACAATTATAATAATAAATAGTTCATTATAAAAATAGTATAGATTTCTTTTGAATATCATTAGTTAGAATTTCAACGATGTTCTATTATTTTGTCCTTATATAGGCTGTATATATCATAGTATCATACTATCATCTATCGATATGTACCTATATATTTCCTGCCTATGTATATATGGTCAATGTTACTAATTTTATAGTGTTACATATTATTAGTGTTATTATATTTTACCAGTGATTGCTAGCTCGTCTAATTCTTAAAAAATATATATATAATATTATATTATATTGTATACAGGCATACAGCCATAGAAATATATAAGTGTAATAAATTCGTGCCTTTACACAATGACAACACTTGTACACGCAGAACCTGTCCGAGGTCTATAAACACAATACGCGCGTACTCGTCACGTTATTTTATATTTTATAGGTACAGCATATTATAAAGGTAATAGGTACCTTCACAGATATCACTACATATACACACTTAGCCATGTACCTAGGTATTATATCCACACAGCCAAACGATTTAAACACATTACACATATATACTTACAATTTATATATAATATCTATAGGTATTATGTATATACAACATCAATATATTATATACGTGTATATTCAACTCAATTATATGTATAGTTTCATCAAGATCCGTCTCTTCGGTAGCTGCGGTATGGTCGTATGGATAGCAACTATAGGTAACTAGCGGAACGGACACGGGACAATATACATAATATACATATAGGTATATACAGAGCGATTCTTAGCAGTATGCCAGTATGATATTTTACTGCAGAATAAGAGCCAAAATAATGTATGTTCACACTTTAAAAAATTTAATTTTTCTTCAAAAACCACGCGAATATTGAAATGACTTCAAATTATATAGAAAAAAATACTTTCAAAAACACCAATTTACCAGGAAAAAATTTGGTCATCAGTTTAAAATGTTTGCATAAAGTATCACCTTGTATAAAGTGATGCGATAGACCTAAGTAGTAAATAATATATTATTGTAATTTGTAAATATTATACGCGGGCGTGTACGGGTGTAATTTTCTATAAATTATAATATATATTATATTAAGCTTATACGGTATACCTTATTAAACGTCATATAGTAGGTACTATAATAGCCGCCCATATAGGTGGAGGCGGCCGTCGTCGAGAAATCAACGTCGCACCTCGCACAGGCCCTGAGGTCTTCAACCTCCTTGAAACGCGCGGTGGGGAGGTTGTTGAACCAGAAAGAAAACGGAGAGAGAAATGGACAAAAACGACATACAATTCACAAATACACAACAATAATTATTGCGCGTATGTTCCGTGTGTAGTTTGTTGCGGTGGGGAGCTGATAGTGGCCGAATTTGTGTTTTTGTTTTGTTGGCTCTAGACTTCCCGAGTCCCGGTGCTGACCGTCAGAAAGCACTAAACAGTTACTACAGTTCGTATGTGCACCATGTACCTGCCGCGCCCCGCTTACAATAGTGACTTTTGTATTTGATATTATGTCCAAACGGAAAACTACGACGGAAGACCAGTTTTAGGTAAAACCGTCAGCAGACCGGTGCGCGTTTATCGGTACCAGGTTACCAGGTATTCGACGCTGATCAGTTGACGTGTAAGCGGCGGCGCGCGCCGCGAGATATTCTGTTATCGTCCTAGTCTTGTCACTTTTTCATAATCGTGTTTGGACAGGCCTACTGACTACAGTCTACAACTGAGTACAGACATCAGTTGCTGAAGTCTGTTTACTGTTGTATTTATCCTATTGTTGATGGTCGTGTTGACGGCTGCAGTACACCGACTTTAAATTATTGGTTTCTCAAGGATGCTAGTTTATCAAATTTGAACTCATCGACGCAGACCCGCAGTTCTCGACGGAATACAGGACTGGTACACCAAATGCCTGATGTTTATTCATATACCCATCTGACGACATTACCATCGGTTGTGTTTAGACAACAGTGTTTTTGACATATCCAGTCTTAGGCTTACGACAGACCGTTGCCAACATGCTCAAGTTTATCCGTGGCAAAGGCCAACAACCTTCGGTTGAGCGGCAGAAAATCCAAAAAGACTTGTTTGCTTTCAGAAGGGTAATTATGACTTCCTATATTATATTATATTTTATTTTTATAGTCCATTTAGTGTTTAACAATTAGCTATGTGATTTGTATTAACTGAATTTTTTTTAATCTATTGTCAATGCCTAATTTCTACTAATAATTTAGTATAATAAATGTGTTGAATACAATACATTTTTTATATTATTTTATTTTTAATTATTCTTAATATATTAAAATTATTTTAAGCAAATAATGTACTATTTAATGACAAATAATTTTCTATTATTAAACTATGTTATTTTAAATTAACATTAACTAAATATAATTGATATTCCAGACTCTACAGTACGGGTTTCCAAATAAACCAACAGCACTTTCATGGGACCCACTATTACGTATTATGGCAATTGGAACTTCAACTGGATCAATTAAAGTGTATCCTTTTACTTAAATGTTCCAATTGATTCTGTGATCCTTGACATTCAGTATTATCTTAGACTGCTAAGATATACAGACATTTTTGATTGTATATTATATTTACTATATAAGTTATTTTTTAAATAAATTTGACTTTTATAATTTATATTTTTATAAAATGTATATACCGTATATTTTATAAAAAGAATTCTTTCAAAATAAATTATTGTGAATAAAAATATTTTTCTTAGCAAACTATATACAGGTTGGGTAAAACTGGTGTTGAATTTTATGGTCATTTGCCATGTTCAGATCATGCAATTACAAAGTTAATATTTGTACCAAATCAAGTAATTATAATAATACATACTATAATATTAAGATTATAAAACAACAAAAGTACATTTTTTTGTCAATAATTATAATAAAAAAAATGTATTCAGGGTCGTCTGGTGTCATTGTCTGATGACAATAGTCTTCATTACTGGGAAATAAATGACATGGCCATTGATGAAGTTCAATCATACTTATTAGAGGGAAAGTGGGTGTTAAAATTGTTTTTAATTTGAAAATTAAATCAATTTATAGTTAAAACATTAAATAATTTTTAGGCTTAAGCAAATTTCATCCATGTGTTTGGAATCTAGTTGTGAAAACTTATTACTTGGAACCGAAGGAGGAAATATATTTTTTATTGATTTGTCAACATTTGAATTATCAGATAACATTATTTATCAAGATGTTGTGATGCAAAAGTATGTATAAATTACTATTAGCATATTTAAAATATAATTTAATTTTACTTTAAATTGTCTTCAGGGTTTCAGAGGAGTATAAAAAAAATCCTGGTGCAGTTGAAGTAATTTCAGAACAACCAGGAAATCCAAATTACATTTTGATTGCTTATAGTCGAGGGCTAATCGTTTTATGGGATCGCTTAAATGCTGTTGCTGTAAAAGTAAGAAAATACTAAACTTCATTAATTTAATGTATTTGTATTATCATTAAAACTAATTCAAGGTTTTTGAAATTTTGTATTAATGATTTTCTTATATGTTTGTTCTTTTTATTCTTTTTTTAGACATTTGTAAGTAGTCAACAAGTAGAAAGTGTATGTTGGGAAGAAAACGGGGAAAGCTTTTATTCCTCTCATAATGATGGGTCTGTAACACTTTGGAAAATAAAAGAAACTTCGGATGAAAATGAAAACACTAAAACAATTTATGGTCCATTTCCATGCAAACCAATATCTAAAATAATTTGTCAACAATCTGGTCAAGATCTCAAGTAAATAAAATATTTAAAAATATATTTAAATTTAACATTAATGATTTATATCTTATTAGCGAACAATTCCTAATTTTTTCTGGTGGTATGCCAAGAGCATGTTATGGAGATCGTCATGCAGTTACTGTTCGATTGGGTACTACTAAACATGTAGCTTTTGAGCTTACTTCAAAAGTTATTGATTTTTTTACAACTACTGCTTCAGTTGATGAAAAAGGTATTATAAACATGTTATTTTAACTTAGGTAAATTGTATTTATATATAATTGAATGTTAAATTATTCTAGGTTGTAGCTTTCTTATTATTTTGGCTGAAGAAGAAATAGTTTGTATTGATTTATCTTCCGAAGATTGGCCATTGGTTCAATTACCATATCTTGTGTCCATTCACGCAAGTGCTATAACATTTACTTCTTTTGTTTCTGATTTAAATGAAGATCTTTGGAATAATATAATTGCTATTGGAAACTTACAAAATGAGAATAATTTTTCTTCAAATGTAAGTCTAAAATAATTAAAATAATTTTTAAAAATGTATTTGAATAACATACATTTAAAATTAATGTCATAAGGATTGGCCAGTTGATGGTGGTGAAGCAAACATTGAAGATGAGCAAAGTAGAGATCTTTTAATAACTGGCCATGAAGATGGTTCTGTCAAATTATGGGTTGCAAATGCAACTCCATTACTTCCTATATATGTATTTAAATCATCATGGGTATTAGTCGGTGATGATGCTGATAACCATTCCAGTAATAGTGTAGCTCCAGAAGAAGATGAAGAAGAGTGGCCACCATTTAGGAAAGTTGGAAATTTTGATCCTTATTCTGATGATCCTCGATTAGCAATTAAAAAAGTTATTCTTTGTCCCCAAACTGGTACAATGATAGTTGCTGGTACTGCTGGGCATGTTATAGTTTCCAAATTTAATGATCAACCTTCTTCTAATGAAATAAAGGTAAATATAATTAATTTTTATAATTATATTTTAATGTAAATAAATAACATTATTTGTTGCTTATTATTCAGGCTATACAAATGAATGTCGTTGGTGAAAGTTTTGTTTGGAAAGGTCATGAGCGTTTAAGCTTAAAACAAACTGGAGATGAAGCTAATAATAATAATGGAAAAAATATGACTTGTCTTACTTTTAAAGCTGGATTTCAACCTTCATCTGTTTTACAAGTTCATCCTCCAGCATCAATTACAGCTGTAGCTTTACATTCAAATTGGTCTTTGGTTGCTGCTGGTACTGCTCATGGCTTAGTGCTTTATGATTATTATCGACAAGCTCCTGTTTTAACAAAATGTACTTTAAATCCCAATGGTAATAATTATTATGTGTTGTATTAGTTTTGAGTACATATTTTCTTAAAAGTGTAGTAATACATTTTAATTAGTGTTTTATGTATTTGTGCATAGATTTGTCCACTGCTGGAGATACTCCTATTTCTAGAAGAAAATCATTTAAGAAGTCATTAAGGGAGTCATTTAGAAGACTTCGAAAAGGAAGAAATTCTACCAGAATAGTAAATGATAAAAAAGGAGCAAGCATTACACCTGATAAAAAACGAGAAAAGTCTGTATTTTTAATATAATATTCCATAACATAGATTTATTATAAATATTACTAACACAGAATATTTAAAATAACTTTTATTTTAGTACTGGACCTATTTCTCCAATGGAAGCTCGACCTGTAGAACGGGCAATTGAAGCAAGACCGGTTGATGATGCATTAGGAAGTATGGTTCGTTGTTTAAGTTTTACAAAAACATTTATTGTTACAGGTATTTTATAATTAATAAATAAAAAATACTATGTTTTATGAAATGTTATTTATTGGATTTGATAACTTATCTATTTAATAATTTAGCTTCACATATTACTCCGACAATGTGGGCTGGTACAAATAATGGTTCTGTATACATTTTTACTATAAGTATACCACCAAGTGATAAACGAAAAGAAAGACGAGTCACTGCACAACTAGGAAAAGAAGTTCAGTTAAAACATCGTGCACCTGTTATTGGAATTACTGTAATTGATGCAGAAAATCGATCGGTTACTGAAGTTCAAGAAAATAGCATTCCGGGTAAACCTTTAGATATATGTGGTCCCCACAAAGTCATTATTGCATCGGAAGAACAATTTAAAGTAATATTTATATTTTTCAAACTAATACGTATATAAAATAAAATATTATTTCATTTTTTTTGTTCTATTGTTTTAGATATTTTCCTTGCCTAATTTAAAACCTGTGTGCAAACTTAAATTAACTGCAGCTGAAGGTGCTCGTGTTCGCCGAATGTCAATGGCCTTTTTTAAAACTAGTGATTATGCAGAAAGCTGTCTTCTCTGTCTAACTAATTTAGGTGAAGTAATAGTACTAAGTATACCAGATCTTCGAAGACAAATACATGCTGCAGTTATTCGTAGAGAAGATATCAAGTATATTATTTAATAATTATAAAAGTATTTAAGTTAATTATTAAAAATTTGATTTATAGTGGTATTTCAAGTTTGGCATTCACACGATATGGTGAAGCATTATATTTACATTCAAGTAGCGAATTGCAGAGAATTTCTGTATCTGCAACTAGTGTTACACAAGTTAATTGTTCTTTAAATTTACCTACTAGAGATCGACCATCAGACAGTCGTTCTATTACCCCTATTAATGGTTATTCAGATGATGAACAAGAGGATTTTCCTAAAATAAATGGTAGATATTAAATATATTTATTAAATATATAAATGTATAAAATTATTTTTATCTTTTAGGATTAACAAATGGTACTCAAGAAAATGGTGATAGTAATTCACAATTAAACAATAGCAATGATCTCTCAGTTGGTGATATTACCATAGACTCCATTAAAGACCACTTGGGAAAGTAAGGAAACATTGAATTTATATAGACTATCATTTATATTAATTAAAACTTATTAATTATTTGTTTTTTTAGTTCAAATTCTAATTTAAATGTAACATCAACATCAAACAATGTTGATGTTAATAATCATCAGAAAACAGTTACTAAACATGAATTATCATCCACTACCACAACTACTGTGAAAACATCAAATTCTACTACAGTTATTACTAACGAAACCATCACGGTTGACAGTAAGTACATTTCTGTAATTTTATATAAATGTTTTAGTTACCTAGTATCGATTAGCATTAAATGAAAATATAACTTATATTTTTATTTAGATTTTAGTTTTTGTTGTGTATTTTTATTTAAACCATTATGTAGTTTAGAATTCGCACCTAAATAGTTTTTTTCATTTATCAGATATATCCACAAGTTTAGTTGTAGAAGATGATCCATCGACACAGTCCAAATTTGAGGTTAGCCAGTCCTAAAAAATATATGGCTATGTGATGGCTAATATGTTTATTCACACTTCTAATTTTACTTTCGTATATGATGTGCAGATTAGACAAACTTCTTAAATTGTCTGTGCATTTATGCGCACATCTAAAATTGCTCTTTGCTAATTTCTGCTATATACTTAGTCTAGCTTACAAGTATTATCAAAAGTATTGTTAACTGCAATCAATTTATAAAATATTTTAAATGAACAAAGATGAATAATTGGTGTGGGTGATCATCATATAACAGTTCATTTATTATATTTAAACAAGGAATAAGGATTATGGTTGTTAAATGTTATCTAAAATGTATATATTTTAATGTTAATAAATTCATTAAAAACTCATAATACTTTTAACATAAATTGAAAGTTAATTATAATTCATATTATTACTAAACAAAATATAATATAATTATTTACAGATATTTAATGATTTCTCTAGTTATAATTGGTGCGAGGGAGACTAAAAATGTACAAACAAAAATTATATGATATAATATTAAAATATAAAATATATTTTAATGTAATTATAATATTTATGTATATATTAATAAATCATACAATTTAATGCAACAAGCAAATTGTAAAATATTTGTTAAATGTTATATTATTATGGTTCAATATTTTATTGCTTTAAAATACACCTATAATAATATACCATATTAAGTTATTGATACATTGAACTTGGTAATATTTGGTATTCAGTTTCATATAATTTACAATTCTCTCATGCAAATATGCTGAATAGCTAATATAAATATTTCATGTTTATAAATATCAATGTAATTAACTTTTATTTCAACCTATGTAGAGGCTTTTCTTATTGATGCTTACATAGAATGTTATGTATTGGTATTCTGTTTTAACGTATATAAATATATATGTATTTTTTCAGATACATAGAGCTCCTTTAGCTCTTATGGAAGACCTAGAAGTAGAAACAGCTGCATAATGTGATAACTAATGATGCGTGTGATTGTCACTACATTAAATCAATGTTTATGTAATTCACACCACATAATTCAATAAGTTTAAAATTGATGTTTTAATATTTATTTTAGTTATTAAATTCTAACAAAGAAAAAAAAAATTATAATATGACTCAAAGAAAATGTTGTACCTACTTTCAGGTAACATTTTGACATAGCTATCGCATATTTTATATTTTTTACACTGACTAATTTATAATATAAAAATGGCACTTTACCATTCCTAACTCAAATTTACTAATAGTGCCTTAGTTATGCATAGTAAACCAACATTTTTTTTAAACTATGCTATATTATGACAAACTTTTTTTAAGTTTTTATTTGTTGTATATTTAAATATGAATCTATTTTGTCAAAATTTTCACCAAATTTAATATATTTTTAAATTCTACATAAAATACATTTTTAAGTTTATTATTATTGAGAATGGTTATACACAAAATCATATTTGGTAAGGTAATAATGTTAAATTATACTTATTAAATTCATACTAAAAATGTATAACTATTTTCAAATTAAATTTCTTTATTTTTAATGTATTATCAATTTATGTTTATAAACTAATTTCAGATTTTGAAACTTTAAATTGTTTTTTTTATATTTCACAATTGTGTTGAGTAAACAGCAAATTTATTTCAAATACATTCCTTTTATATTAAAAATTTGAATTATTATTTGATTTCCTCTATTTTTTATTATAAAATTTGTGTTTTGGTCATTTAATTATTAATTTAATTATATTGTGAATTATTTTTTTATTAAACTTTGTTTGTATATACTATAGTCAATTATTTATTTTACATTTTATACTTACTCAACTAATATTTAAACAAAATTGTATTTTATATCATAAATCAGCATGTATGTGTATTTAATTTTTTTATAATACATAAGATTCTACATGCCGTTTTTGGCTAAATACCATTTCTAATTAATTATTTATACATAAGTTAATTATATATATTTTTACATGATTTTTATAATGTTTAAATTGTCTTTTATTTGTTAATTTTTATATGTATTAATTACTTTGCAATTGCTTTAAACATAAATTTAATTGTTGTACAACTAATAATCCTTTTTAGCCCTTAAATTAGGATTACTAAATTAATATAACTTATTGATAAAAATGTTAAAGGTGATGGTTTGTACTATAGGTTTAATATTAAAGTATTTTAAAACATACGTTTTGTATTTAAAAACAAATTTTATGTAACCCATATACTTTATAAACTCCAATTTTACTGTAATACAATTTGTAACCTTTTTAAAAAAAAAAAATTGACTTTATTTTAGTATATTGCTCACCCTGTTGTTTCCATAGCAACGCTGTAGCGCTCTGTTTTGGGTCAATACCACACTACTTGCTGCCATAGATAGATGCACAGTGCACTCTAGCAGATTATAATACAGGTGTATACTGCATATAAAATAAAAAATATTTAAATATTTTTTTATTAAAAGATATAAAATTATATTAGTTATTGGAAATCATGACTGTTAGAAACAGCCACTGGGTAGCTCTTTTTTCTCAATTATTTATTTTATCTGCAAGTGTTGTTTTATTTATGATTCCAATTTATCTACTCTGGAGTCACATTACTTATGAACAAAATCATTTATCTAATTATAAGTGAGTATTTATATACAAGAAAATGTCTTTCATTATTCTATGATTATGATTATTACGTGATTAAAATTTCAAATCATTATTTTACATGTTATATGTTGCAGGCCTCATGTGGTAGCTTTAATATTAGCTCGGGGCGGTAGTAAAGGAATACCAAGAAAAAATTTAGCTGTAATACAAAATACTACACTCCTCCGAAGATCTTTAGACACTATTAATGATTGTGGATGTATGAAAATATTATGCTCATTAATTTTTTTTAAGTGAAATTAAAAGCTATTTATTTTGTAACAATTATGTAATCTCTATTGACTGGAAATTAAACATAAATTTTATATTTAAAATATCATTTTTGGAATAATGGTAGTAAAACCTATTTCAACAAATGTATTATTTACTGGTTATTACTTTTGGGCTTTGATCAGTATGGGCTTTTTAAGACAACTAAATTTAAAAATGCTTCCAAATTTAAAAACATACATATTAGTGTTTCATATTATAAATAACTCTTGTATGATAGTTTTAATTTTTGTTTTAGTGTTTCATGATGTATGGGTATCGACAGATGACAATGAAATTGCAGTTGAAGCTGAATTAGCTGGTGCTAAAATTTTTCATCGCAGTGCAGAAACTGCTTCAGATGAAGCATCTTCACTTAGTGCTGTGAAAGAGTTTAGTATGTACCATCAAAAAGTGGATATTTTTGCTATCATTCAGTGTACATCACCTTTTATGACTACTGAGTATTTGACTAGAGCATATAAAATGGCAGTTAATCAGAAATTTGAATCTGTGTTTTCTGTAACACGAAGCCATAAACTACGTTGGAAACTCGGTTCTGGTATAGTTTTATTATTAATTTTTCATAAATAATTGTTAAATTAATCAAATTTTTGAAATTATTAATATTAGATGGTCAACTATTACCATCAAATTTTGATGTTACCAAAAGACCAAGAAGACAGGACTGGGATGGAGAATATGTGGAAAATGGCATGTTTTATTTTGCACACAAAAACCTTATTGTTAATAATAAGCTCCAAGGAGGAAAGTAAGTATTTTAGAATTGGAATTTTTCTTTACAAAAACTTACTTATGTTTGATAAATTTAATTTTAGGTTGGGAGTAGTAGTCATACCAATGAATAGAAGTTTAGAAATTGACACGCAATTTGATTTACAGGCTGCTCGTCTTTTAGCTCCATTATTAGATAAACCTAAAAATAAAACTGATAAAACAAAAGAAATGAACAAAAACTCATAAACCAATTTTAAAATGTTAAAATGATAGTTATAAAATTACTTGTTATAAGTTTTAGTTAATATTATTTAAAACTTATACTTACAAATTTATATATCTATTTGTGTAAATAAGATTAATATACTTGACCAAAGTATTCGCCATTTTGATTAAACATATTTATTGTTTTGTAAATATTATTGTTAGATGAATTTATAGTTTTTACTATTTTAATTTTGAATAAATTTTTTTTTTTTTAAATTGAGTTTTATTTTTATAAAATATCAGCAATATATAACAGAATGATTAAGAAAATTAATATGAGTAAAAACAAAATTAAATACCTAGTATAAGGTTTTAGTTCTTTGCTGTTTAATCAGTAGCATTAGGCATAACTAAGTAACTATAGTTACTGTTGGAAGTAAGAATAAAAAATAACCCCAAAAGCAAGCTCATATTATTGTTCACTTTCAGTCAAACAACGATAAAACAACTAATAATGGCAAAATTCCCGAAAATTCAATAGATATTTGGATAATAAATTATATTAATTCACTAGAAAATAAATACCCACTAAATGATGAAATGAAATAGCTAAATAAAAATCAGCTGTATCCCCTCTCCCTTTATTTCTACCTCATACCAAGATAAACAACTTGACATTATTAAGTTGGGTATACAAACAAAAATAATAATATATATGTTTATTACTTTACTATAAATGAATATAATAATAAACTATTTTAAAGATTATTATGTCAGAACTTTTATATATTGATTTATAAACTTTTTATGTTATTTGAGTGTATCAACATTTTTAGTGTTCATCTAATCAAAAAATAAAAAAAAAAAATAAATGTATGAATAAAATTTCATTTATTCTATAGTGTTAATAAAAAATATACTAAATATTAAATATATACTTCTTATCTTTTACATAAAATTGACTTTTATTTTTTTGGTTTTAAGTCAATAAATTTAGTCATTAAATATTAATATTTTAATAGTTTCAAAATTTACCATCCAAGACAATTTACTGAATACCTATATTATCTATATAATATTCTTTTTTTTTAAATATTTGCATGTTTTTATTTCAATTATTGATATTGACAACACAGAATCACTATATTTTGGAAGTCTTTCTTGTTCTTTTACTTGTTCATCTCTCTAAGCCTATACATAATATAAGAAATATTTTATTCATTTATTTTGATAATTAATTATTTGAAGCTCTCACCGACATTTCTAAAATTAATGTTTCATTTTATCTTTTTCTGTTTGTATAAAAAATTATCCTATAAAGTTTTATTCCAAAAATAAAAAATTATTATATTTATTTTTGTTTAATGAGTTCCAAAGTGTTCCTATCTTGTTAGTCTTTATAAGAGCTTAAAAGTTTTATCTCAAACAGGTATTATTTTTTTTAAGTCATATTTATTCTTAAATTTTTCTACTTCAACATTGAAACCATCATATCCTAATCGGTTAAAAATTGAATAATGGTAAGTTTTATTTTAAATGTTTTACTATAGTATATAACACTATATATATATACATTATGATAAATGTTTTTATAAAAGATATTTTCCAAAGTCTTCACTATCTTAGCTTATATAAAAATGTATAGATCCTTATTAGCTACATCTTGTAGGCATATTATCTTCTTGCTATAAACTAATGCATAGATATAATTGATTCCAAAATATTTACAGTTTGTCAAAGAAACAAGAGTAAGTAACTCAGTCAATTTTTCCAAAATAGATCTTGTTTCTATATTAGTAGCATACTTAGTACATTTTGATTGGCTTAATCTTCTCATCCAAACTTATTTAATGTATATAATTGAAATATTAATTTTCAAAAAAATAACTTTACTTTACTATTACATTTCGCAAATATCATCTTCTATAGGAAATATAAATAAATATTCATGATCAACATCAATAGTTTATCTTCAGCAGAAAGTGTAAAATCACTAGAATCGTCTAGGTTATTTTAAAAATATATTTTATTTTTAATAAATTTTTCTTGAACTAAATTAAAAATAATTTAAATGGACACATAAACCATTTTTTTATCTAAAACTTATAATTTTAAATTATAAACTTTAGATAAATTTCTTATGGAATAAAAAATGTTCAACAACGTTAAATTTTCTAATGTTCATTGCTCATTAGTAATAAACTTTCCAATTGAAAACTCAACAGCTTCTTAAAGTTATACACCACTTGGCTATGATGATTGAAATAGTCATTTTTAATTCTTTTAATTTTGTATAGATAAGCAACATAAACATATAAATCTTAATTCATTATCATCAAAATAACTAAATTCTGCATAACCTATGGTAAAATCAAAATCTAATTTATGATTAATAAAAAATGTTGCTATTTTGCACTGTGATAATAATAATAAGGTTTCATATAAGTATGTGAATAAAATACACCTTACTTGCCATATGGATTCACTCTCATCTTTTTCTCTTTATCAAATTTTAACAATAGAAAACATATCGATGAAAAATAATATTGAAATACTGAAAATGTAGAACATGTATCATACATTAATAACCCTCAATAGGGAATATTGTAGTACTTTTAGAGATATATGTTAACTTTAAATCAATTTCTAAGTTCTGCTCTTTTAAATGTAGCAGCTTCATCAACATTCAAAGATCCACCAAGCGATTAACTACTTAAAAAAATCTTAAACTAAAATATTTGAATTTGAAAAACCTTAGAACCAATATGAACTAACTTAACTTAAAATATTATCAAACATAGTATTAAACAAAAAACTGTAAGTAAACAATTATTTTATTACAAGTGAAAATAGCTGCAGGTGCCTCAAATAAGTTAAACATAACAAAAAATATATAGATATTTAGTAATTTTTGATTGGTTAATAGTAACCAGTTACTAGTATTATCAATATTTTCCAAAATGTAAAACTTAAGCAATTTTACGTTTTAAAATCTTTAGATATTATTTATATTTGTATTATCTATTCAACTGTAACCATAAAAATTAAATTAACTTATATACTGTTTATATCTAAATTTTATTATTGTAAGCAGAAGTACAATAACTTCATTTATAATTATTAATAGTAAATTAAAATTTTGTAATAATACAGTTAACACTAAATAATATATATTATTATAAAATAATTAATTTTTAACTTTCAAGATAATTAAATAAAAAATACACATATATAAGTTTTAAATAACTTAACCATAAAGTAAGTAAACAATGATACCTGTCTTCAATAGCTTTAAGGTTAAACTGAAATCTAAATTACGAAAAAAAAAATTGTTATTTAAATAATAATAAATAAATACAATTTGGTTATAATTAAGTAAAATAAATAAACCTCTATAACTTGATATTTTATTTAAATTAGAAATAATACTGAATTTTTTTTTTTTTATTTATTTACAGTAGACAGTTTATAAATTGTAATTTTTTTGATAGGCGCAATATCATACTCGGATAAAATAATGTAGCAAAGTATAACTAAATATTTATTAATATACTGAAAAATTTCAGTTTATTTTTTTCAGAAGTAGAAAATCTATAATATATTCAATTGATTACTATCATAAAAAACAAGCAGATAATTCAAATTTTTTTATATTTGAGATTAAGACTTGAATAATTTAATCTAATAATTTGTATTTTTTAATACATAGTAATTAAAGTTTTATTAAAAAAAAAAAAATATTTACAATATTATATTCTTAAATGCTTATTAGCTATTAAACACAATTTAGATTATGTAGACATTAAACATATCATTTTTTTTTAATGTAGTGCAATATTAATCATTTAAAAATTTAATTTTTTTTACCATTGATACTCCACACGACCAAATTTGTAAATCAGAGATGCAGCAAATATAAAAGCATTTTGAAAAAACAGTTCAAGTCCAACTGTCATGTTTGGTTTAGTTGAACCTAATGATTAAAATTAATATTTTAAATTTTAAAATGTACACCAAAATATTAATACATGTAATTAAATAGAAGTCCTACCTTTAGCTGCAACAAAATCAGCAAAAAATATCCAACAAGCAGCAATCAAAGCAGCAAAACCTAATACAAAACCCATAAATAACCAACTACGAGCTCCTCTAGGTCCAAACCATCCTCCTGAGTAAGCTTCTCCTCGAATTTGAGAATTAGATACAACGTTAATCCTAAATACATAATTAAAATTATAATGCAAAATAAATTAGTTATATAAGTTATCACTATAAAAACAAAACAAAATGATTAGCCTATCACCATTGAAGCCAAAGTCATGTATGAAACATTAAAAAAAAATATATTTATTGAAACTAGCATAATGATTTTATTACACAAATAGTATCAATAATTCAATTCAGAATCCAAGATTAAGTTTAAAAAATATAATCAAATGATCAGATGCATTACTTTTGTATTTTTGAAAACACATTTTATAATAAAATAGTCTATTGTTTCATATGACATCTATAGATTATAAATTGAATACTTATATTATTAAAAATATAAACATAGATTCTGAGGAATACAAGTGATATAATGGTTTAGCAATGATATTTGTTTATTTTTTTTTCTTTAAAAAAACTTTTCAACCTAACGGGTGTTTTGATCTGAACATATTATTAATCTAACCAAATGTCATCCAGTTGGTATATTTATCTATTAACGGATTATTTTTATTATTTATAGAATATTCTCTACACTTAAGGTAAAACTATCAAAAAATAATTAAAAATTATAATATTATTATTTTGTTCAATTTGATTTTTTTTATTTATACATAATTTTTTTATAGTAGTAGATATACTTACATAAACAATGAAAATGTTCCAACCAATCCACATATATGATAGGTACCGGGTACTTGACTAGGGTTTACAGCCATTGCATCAATTATAAGCCACCATCCGACTGCAAACTGTCAAACAACAATTAGCAATAGATGTATCTCTAAATAATAAAAATTTTACAAACCAGAAGTCCTGATATCATTCCAGATACAACATTTCTTTTTTCACTTCCTCCTTCAAACCATAAACAATTACTCAAGTTCACGTTATCCATACAGTCCAAAGGCATTGTTTAAAACAAAAGATTACAGAAGTTAAAAATGGACGTTAAGTAATATTTTTGTTACAAAGTATGGATGTGGTATCACGGTGTGTTTATAATTTGTAAAATTTTGTTTATAAGTTTATAACATTAAAATAAAAATAAAATAAACATCTAAAATCATAGAATAAAAATTAATAACAAAATACTACTTAATTTACGGCGTATTTATCACCATCTGAGGCATCTGACTATGAGTTTTTATGTTTATAATATAAAAAATAGCATTGATAACGAGTTTATAATGATAACAAAATAGTTTTTTTTTTGTAATTCAAAAATAGATAACTATTATCTATACTCTATACTCTATAGAGAGTAGAGACTGTACACTCAACACTGTACTACAGTCATAGTGTTTCGAGTGGTATTCAAATTTCAATTTTCAAGTATTATTATAATTCGTAAAAAACAAATCATTTTGGTAAAACAGACCACGAGTAGGAAGATTCATTGCAGTTGATTTGATTTGGGAAACTATATAAAACGCAAACACGATGAAAATCGAATACATTTAATGCAAAATCTTTTTGATCGACCTTATTATAACATTTATATGAACGCGATTGTTTTAAAAACGATAAAATAATCCGATTATTTTACTGTTTAGTATTTAACTGTACCCAGATGTTCGAGTTTAATACATCTGCGACGCCTTTACTGAAACAGTGATATGGACTATAGCCACAGCGATCTAGACAAATTGAAACGGTCGTCAAACCAATTAAAAAAAATCACATGATTAATTCAACAAATTATGTTTCCTCGAGTGATCAAATATTCGTAAATATATATAGAGAGAATCATATTAACTAGTCAAATTACGAGAAAATACTTTTTGTAGAGCAAAAGCTTTGATTGAGAAGACTAAGATTTACACATCTAATTAATGAATTAATATTATATACTAATATAGTTATTTATACTGATGACCGAAAACTGTCATAAAAGTAATTATATAAACGATTTTAAAAATAGAGAATTCATTATAAATAATTACATTTGAACAATTTACATCATTGGAAAATGCATATTTCTTGATTCTTAAATCCAAAAGAGTAGCATGAGTCACCAAGTGATTATCTTCAATATAACCAAGCCTTTTACACAGTTTATTCGTCATCACTCAATGTTTTAGCCATAACTGAATAACAACAGGTAATGTAAGATTGTCTACCAAACTTTTAAATATAGGTTCTTATTTAATAAATTAACAAAAATGATCTCATTTAATAGTGTAACCTATTTCTCAGCGCTAATCTCAAGAGTGATACCATAAAATATTTTTAAGATATCTCTTGCATGCTCAAGAAGACTCCAATCATCTAAATCAAAACAATTTAATTTACTGTTATTCAACTCCACAAATGTGGCAACTATTGATTCTTTAATGACTAAAATTCTGTCAAATGTATTACATGTGAAGTTAGACTGTCCAATTTTAATTTTAATTGAGGTAAACTAGTTTTTTTGAAAGTTTTGTAACTTTCCTTAAGCATGAGAAATTTTCTTAAAAAACTTAATAATTTTCTTTACTTTTAATGTAGTTAGCTCAATGTATTTCAAACCTTAGTGAACAACCAAATGTATGGAATGAGCAAAGCAAGACAATAATATCTCCAATTACATTTCATTATTGGAGCTTTAATATCATGAGCATTATCACTTACTAAACACGTTAGTTTATCTATTAAGCTCCATTCATCAAATGTATTCCTTAGAAATCTGACCAAATTATCAGCTGAATGTTCGAAAATTTTCACAACCTAGCAATACTGATGATAACTGTATTTCATTTAGCAGTCAAATTTTTAACACATATTTATTTTTTTGAAATAAAGATGCATTACATACGTCTGGCAGTCATATGTAATTGAAAACAATTTATTAATGTGAATTTGTTAATACAAGGAACCAAAAACTAAATTTAAGAACTTCATTTAAAATATCCATTTAGTTTCAATTTATTATATATGTATATACAAGTGTTTCAATTAGCATTGATAAAAAAATATAATTAATAACGCATAAAGATATTAAGGATTGCTGTTACAACAAAAATTGTTTACATTTCACAAAAGGAATTATGGTTTACATTTCACAAAAGGAATTATGAAGTATAAATTGCATGACATTAATGTTTTATTAAAAAAAAAAAAAATAATAATAATAATATGTAAGAGTAAAATTATAATAAAGAAAATAATTATTTACCAGAAAAAAATAACATATTTAAAAAAAAAAAATACATTAATGGGAATAACATTTTGAGATGCAAGAATGTTGATGAAATTATAAACTGTAGTAACATAGAGAATTGGTATTCATGCACTCCTTATGCTTTGTATGAGTTGAAATATAACTAGAAAAAAAACAAATAAAAATTATGTGTTAGTTTTAGCACGTTTTAATACAAATATAATATATATATACTTTAGTGATTTAATTAGTTTCAAAAAATATTTCAGGGTTATTGATTTATTTTAAAAATTGAAGTTAAAATACCTTATAAAAACTAAAAAACTATAAAATAAAGAATATAATTTGATGATTTTACATTTAACTTTTTGACTACTGAGGTTAAATATAACCATAATACCAGATTACAATGCATTGAAAATTAACTTTTTTCTGTGGTATTTCAATTTTATATTCTATAGATACAACAATAATTGTTAAAGGGACATTAATGTTTTTTACTATAGAACATTAAATACATATAGTTTTATTGTAAATAAGTATACACAATAACTGGATGCCGATGGGTTTTGGCAAGGGTTAATATATTCCAATCAAATATATAGCCAGTTTTTCAACAGAATTAAAATAATTTTAAAATGTAATTCTATAACTTATAAAGAAGTTTATAAAAGAGTTGATAAAGATTATATAAATTTCATTACAATTTACTCGAATGATCGTAAAAATTATAATCTATGTATTTAGATTTAAGAATTATTAATTTACAAATAATATTAGTTAGTTTGAATCAATTAAAAATCACAAGTTGAAAGACTGTTTGGTTTAGAAATAAGTATATTTTGTTAAAATTAAATAACATCAAAAATTAATAAATATTATAATAGAAATACTACAATAATAAAATTGGTTTATTTGTTTTAAATTTCAAATATTAGAATAAATTCTAGAATATATTTATCGCTAAAATGAAAAATATATGCTTAGACATGTAAAACACCTGAGTAACCCGAAAAAAAAATGATGAAATTGTGACAACAAACAATAATTCATCTTCAAATTGTTCAATTAGTTTTGATTATATGTATGGACCTATGTCCATGTTGCACACTCATAACTATTAATATTGGACATAAATATTATCTAGACAACCAAAATGGTAAAATGTAAAAACAATAACATACCAGATCCGCAAACGACAAATAAAAACAGCGCCAACAGCCATGGACTTACAGGTGTTTTATTTTTCTCAGATTTCTGAAAAATACAAAATGTGAAATAAATCAACTAAATAGTGATGAGGAAAGAAAAGGTAAAAAAAAAACATCCAAAATAACTAGCCGGAATAAGGGAGGTTCTTCACTTACCGTCGATTTTGGTACGTTGCCCCGCTGAGTGATGTTTTTGCTGGCTTTTTCATTGGCGATCCTCATCCTCTGTTTGGGTGCCATTTTGCACGTTTCGAACGATTGGTGTATGCAAAAAGAACGTGAATACGTGGCAACAACTAACGAGTACGAGAGCAAATGGCAATAAGTATCGTTAACGTGCAATGGCACACTGACGTGTCTTGACTAGCGGTGGACGGCGGTAGAGTAAAATAGTGAATGTGAAATAAGAACCGTTAGTATAACGCCACTCAATACTGACTGTACGTAGTATACCTGTATACACTATACCGTAACTTGTAAAGCCATAAGACGACTACACTACTTCAGCGAGTGACACTCAGGCAGTGGTGGTCAGACGTCAGTGGCAGTGGCGGTTGTCGTGGACCGTGGTACGGTAGTACGGTACTGCAATCCGCGTTGGCACGTCGTTATCACAAGCAAGCGATTCGTAGCAACACGTCTTGTTTACAAGACGCAGCGGTGACGTGGGCAGATAATAAAGTCAGCTTAGCCAACTGCGAAACGATAATAATAACAATTTTTATTTCATCATAATATAATATGATAAGTATAGATTTGTATTATTATTGTCATAAATTCATATAAGTTGTTAAAAATGAATATTGTTGAATGTTGAACTGTTATAGTCACTTTAAATGACTTAAAATCCTATAGTAAAAAAATAAATAAATATTTATATAATATGTATCTAGTGTATCCGTGGACTGTGGTATTGATTTAATGGTAATGGATTATTTAGTATAATTATTTACAGGATTTCAATAATAGAATTATTAGTAGTAATTAGTTTTAAACTTTTAAACGTAAGTATTTATAAAGTATTCTAGTAGGTATATAACGAATATTATGTAAGCATGCCGTAAACATAATATGAATGTTTAATTGTATAGGAAACATAATTTAAAATAATTTATCACATATTGCACATATTTTTCAAAAAATATAAAAATAAAACAAATGATTTCTATATTTTTTTATAGCAACTACTGATGAAATTTTCAACTGTGAAATTGTTTAATTATTTTTCATTTCCAACCTAACGTCAAAAAACAGTAAGTTTTTAGAAGCGAAGTTTGTATTTTTATTTGAGACTTGGTTCTTAGTTATTATTGTTCTAATGAATCTATGATTGTGAATCTTGATAACCAATTTATATTGAAGTTAATTATTATATTATGATGATAAAAAATAAAATACCTTATCTATGTAAAAAATCATAGTAAATATTAATAAAAGTGAGTCGCATAATATTAAAAATATAAATATTAATAATAATTTTGTCTCCATTCTTTAATTTCAGAAAGCTTGTTTTTTTTCCTCCTTTGGATCATCAATCACTCGTTCTACCTTTTTTGGTCTTCATCAATGTAGTTAATCAGCCCAATACTTTTTAACAAATACACGTGTATCATTGATAAACATCTCTGATCGCTTGGTCACCAATGTCTTATTTATGTTGATGATTTGGTTATTTTATCTTCGAATATATTTCCTAATCTTACTATAGTCTATAGATAATCTTAACTCTGCTCTAAGAATTTAAGTGACATTATAATCAAAATAACATTTGAAATTGACTCTGAAGTCTGAAGAAAATATTGTACATAACTTATTTTTTTAATTAATTTTTATAAATTATATTTTATTTTAACTTCAATATATTTTTTTTTTTATTTAGTTAAATCTTGTAATTTGGGTGGTTTATCCTTAATTAATATATTATACTCGTATATTAGTGATTAAAAACCCTGCCACACATACACGTGTTTGCTATCAACCGTACAACCGTAACAATCGTAAAAACTAAAAACAACCTACCGTACCAACCTTACTACTACCACAGCTCATAAGTCATAACCCCTACAACAGCTAATGGCCCTAGACTCTATTCCGTCGGATCCCAAACGGCTCCCATCAAAAAAGGTTTTTTAACAGATAAATTCCCAAACGGCTCCCATCGAAAAAAAAGTACAAACCGGTATAATTGTATGATTCTGGAATTGAAAGAGTGCTAAAATATTTATTAGGCCTTCCTTACTTACCACCGTCAGAAGTCTTGGATTGTTTCACAGATGATTTAATGGTTATCAAACCAAAAGATGACAAAATAGATAAAGTTTTTGACTATATTTTTGAAACTTACATAATTTCAGGTAGTCGTTTCCCTCCTAAAATGTGGGCTGAGCGTTCATCTTCTCTTTCTTTGATCTCAAACGGATGTGAAGCTTTCCACGGTAAATTTAACAAAGAATTCAATACTACACACCCAAATATTTTTAAGGTTATTGACATACTAATCAATATACAATCTGATTAATCTGAAAGGCAAATTAAAGCTCGAAGTCATTTTAATACACCGAGATCGAAAAAAAACAAGAGCTCGTCGAAAAATAATTTACGAGTTTTCATCAATATATAAAAAAATTGTGCCTATCAAATTTACCTGATATATAATTTTTTTTTTAATATTTTTTAACGTTAAAAATTTAAAATTTAATATTATACTATACGCTTTTTTTCATATAATTTTAATAATTTACCCCAAGAAATTTTTAATCACACCTCTTTTGAGATAGTCCTAAGTCTGTATAAAGTGGGAAGGAACTTATGTTGTAAAAACCGGAACCGTTTAGGAATTTATCTGTTCGTTAGACTTTTTTGGACGGGAGCCGTTTGGGAATTGACTTTTTTGTAAAACGGGAGCCAAATGGGCTACGACCCTCTATTCGCCGGGCTTAAGTTTGATAAAAAAATAATATATTATACTATTATGTAATAAAATATTTTTATATAAATTATTCTTTAATGTACATTAATACATGTAGATTAACTTGAATTTTAATATCTTTAATATTTATTTTTTTTTGTTTCTTCCATTGCAAATCCTCCCTTATACAAATCACATAATGAAATTATAAATAATATATATTAATGTATATTATACAGTATATCGTCTTTTACTTCATACTCCTAATTATTATTATATTTTTACTTTGTTCACATGCACAGAATAATTTATTTTGGTTTGAATTTTAAACATCAAGGTTTTTATTATAATTGTTTACTTGAGAAGAATTTTTTTATTCATTTAATAAGTATGTGTATAATAACTGTGAAAAATTAAAATTAAAAATGATTTAATAATATTATTACGTATTTTGAAAACTTTATTTTTTTCTTTTAAAACATGATGTGATAAAAAATTAGGTAGGTGTTAAAAACTTTCAGTATACAATCTTAACATTTTGAAACAATATATAAAATATTTTCAAAATGTAATTTTGCTGAGTATGTTTGTGTGTGAGGGGGGAAGGGGCTAAGAAATATTATTAACCCTACAATGCACACATTAATATTTACATTCAAAATTTGGGTATCAAGAGTTATAGAGAACTGAATTGGCCTCATCCTAATTTCTGATCACATCTTGTCATTTTGCTTCTTGGTGATACGCCGCAATATTACAGAAAATGTACTTTTACCGTTTTTCATTAGTGGTTAGTATTGTGTTATTTGTGCTATATTTATTAAAATAAAGTTGATTAAAAGACAGGAAAATAGTATACTGTTCTATGCACATCACTGAACGAATTAAATTTGTAGTGATTATATTATTTGTTTGTCATGTAGTATGTACAATACTACAATCTGCTTATAATTATAATTTATAATCATGTTATTATCTACTATTTGACTATCAATTATCAAATAATCGTAAGTGACGTCACATTTAATTTGATAACGACTGTTGAATGTTGATAATATAAATTCCTTCATCTCCAACCTCAAGAATCAAGTCTGGTCACGAGTCGTGTGGTGTATGCCGTCGCCGTGTATGGTGTATACTACGTAGTGAGTAGAGACTAGAGGCCGTTGTACACAGAGACAGCAGCCAGTTTATTATTTTGTCTTTTTAATTGTAAATAATTATAATAATTGTTTCGTTAATCATTCACTTGATAGTTAATTCAAAATAAATCCAATGGAAATTATCGATATAAAAGTGATCTAAAATGAACTATACTGTATAAACGCTTCTATAGATTTTACATACATTCAGCTGTAATTTTTTTGTAATATTTTTAAACTCTAAAGAAATGGGAGGCAAAGGATCCAAACACGATCGTGTTATAGATCCATTAACGTTCGACGAAAATGATGCTATCGATAAATTGATGAGCTACAAAGAAATTATTTCTTTGGAAGAACTGTTACAAAGGTGGAATTCATATTTAACACATAACATGAACAGTCATATTAAACAATTGTTTGCAACCAACAAACCGTGTCGACAGCGTGTGGTGCATGTCTACCGATGTTTATCAACCTGTGAAATGTACCATGAATCTTACCTAAAAATAATGTCGATTGTACTTGCGAAATCAAACATTGAACGATATACAATTGATCTTTTGGAAACTATTAATCTTTGTTTAAAGGATACTGATGAGTATGCCTATTGGATCAGAATTGGAGCTAAATCACATACTATTCATCAACTCGCATCTCAATTATCAAAAGATGGTTTGACCGGTGATATTGCTGCGTGGTTGCGAGGCAATACTCTTCTTGGACTATTGCATAGAGCTCTGGTTACTACACTTTACTCAGTGCCACGGAAACTAGATTTACTTCCAGCTATCAATATAAATCAAAAATACATACAATCGTTTAAAACTATTTTAGATCTTGGATGGATAATGTTCATAAAAAATAGTTTACCAGCCGACTGTCAAGAGAATTGGAGATTGTTGTTTTCAAGTAGTTCACACGGTGAAAGCTTCCAGTCACTAACTGCTGCCATTATCGACCAAGGAAGTACAATTTTAATCATAAAAGATAATTTTGGTAATGTCTTTGGAGGATATGCTTCACAATCATGGCTATTAAAGCCTAAATTTTATGGAGACTCTGGTTGTTTTGTTTTCTCATTATATCCAAATTTGAATATATGTGCTTCATCTGGATATAATGATAATTTTATGTACATGAATAGTGGTCAGTATACGCTACCAAATGGTATAGGAATGGGAGGCCAATTTGGCTATTGGGGATTATGGATAGATTCAGAGTATGGTATTGGCAAAAGTAGTGCTTCGTGTTCAACATTCAATGACTACTCAATGTTATCAGCTAACAAAGACTTCAAGATTGATTCCTTAGAAATATGGTGTGTTAAAGAAAAACCAAAACTAGACGATGAAGAGGAAGAAAGAAAACTTCCATCAGATAGAGATGACTGGGATATGAATCTATTGGACATGTCTGGACGTACAAAATACTCTGATGGGTTAAGAGACGAAGATGAATTTAAATGAATACCGATGTCCAATTATATTAGTTTAACTTGACTCAATGTTCAACAGTTTTTAGTCTAATAAATTGCATTTTTGCCCTGTCAAGAACTCATGAATTATAAAATTATATCTGATATCGTGTGATAAATTTTTTTTTTTTAGTTTGTTTTATTTATTTTAATTGAGCAAGTTATATTTATTTATTAATAGTAAACCATAAATACATATTTCTTAAATAACATTAAAAAAGTCTGATTTTTTTTAATTTAATAAATTATAAAAGCTTATTAAAATATAAGGTTTGTTTTCATTTATTTAATGTTTCTTAGTTAAAAAGGTGTATATAACATGAGTTATAAAAATATTTATGGAAACTAACCTAATTATTGTCAGAGGTTACTTTGTAGCATTTATGTTACACAAAGAAGTTAAGATATATTTTATTTAATGAGATTTTTTTAATTATGTATGTTTTCTCAAAATTATAAAATTTAATATCGCTGGTATTTTAAAATATTTTATTATTAATATTTAATTTTTTAATTTTATTCTTTTAATTATTATTTTTTGATTTTCTCAAACCATTACTTTCATAACTTTAATATAAACTCAAATCACACTAATTGTAGAAGATAAATGACATATCGTGTAACCATTAAACTTAATTATTCTGATAAATGATAATTAGTCAAATTTCAGGTAAATATTCCTGACTGTGTTATTTTACGATATCAGTGTGGTGCTATGTCAAGCCAACGAGAAATGTGCAATGTACACTATCATTAACCTTCAGCTAACATGAAATGTTCAGTACTACTTTAAAAATTGGCATCAATAATTATTTGTCCTTTTTTTTTTTTTTGAATTACTGAAATTAGTAATTACATGATTCTGCTTGGTGAGAAAATAATTATTGTTTCATAAAATAGTACGTATAAATACAATAATAATAAAAGGTATTCATTGTTAAGTGCATTTAATAATTCTGATATATATTTCTAAGCATTAAAACTTTCTAAAATGTATCAATCATAATTATCAAAATTAGAGGATAAATTATTGTTTAATAATATCAGAAATTTTTATTTTTACTATAATTTAATTACAATAAAATATTGAACTATGGCACCAAATCAATATGAACACAATGTGACAGATGCAGTAGATCCTACATTGTGACTTGTTATTTTATAGCTACAAAGTATTACACATACTAAAGCCTTACTGATTTAATTCAAAAGAAGTATTTCAAGAAAATATTATTGACAGTTCTCATAAGAAATTAAATAAATTACATTAATGTAAAATGTTGCTTTAATAAGACTTTTTAATTAACATAATATATATTACTGTTATTATACTTTCCAATTATTTAACTTATCAAAATTTATAGAACAATAATTTTTAAGAATAATTCTTAAAATTTTAATTGAGATAAAACAAAAGTTTAAGATAAATCTTAAACTGCAAAAAAAGAAGAAATTAACATTTCTAGAGAACACTTAAATAGCATAAAAAAATCAGATGTTTGAAAAAACTATCTTCATTAAATTTAAATTTGAACAATCATATATTTTAATAATATATAATTTTATTATATAATATAATAATATAATTACATATGTTCATTGAATAAGTAAGGGTTGCCACAATTGGTGATCTGACTAACTCATTGTATATATACTATTTACTGTCAGCAATAAACATACAGGCAATGATCAGAATAAAAATCTTTCCTGGAAAAATTCTCCCTTCTCGTAGCAAATTAAATTTTAAAACAATGGAAATAAAATACTTTATAAATTAAAACATAAAATTCACTTATTAATTATTATTTCTAATTTCAATATACTGTAGAACGCCGATCATCAGGACTAATTATTGTCAAGGCTAGTACAATTGAAAAAATACCCAGATTATTGAAACATGACATACTAAAAGTTATACATTTTATTTATTATTCATAATATAATTTGAAATTTGAGACTATAAGCTAATTATTGATATCATAAAAATTAAACAAAAAACAACTGACTTGATATGTGTAATATTTATTACAAAAGTTTGAAAAATGACAATATTTTAGTCTGCTTCATTATTAACTTTCTCTTTAGATCAACTAAGTCCCATAATCTCCTTAATTGTTGCAATTTAGTGTTATTTGATTAATTTTACCTCTCAAACCATTTAAGCGCCAAATCCAACACATCAGAGGCTTCAGAATGAGACAACCCATATTCATCTTCAGTCAAATCGTCATCAGTTTCATTTCACTCGTTATTGTAGTTGACAAATTAAAGCAACAACGATTAGACAACTGACTTACTAAGAAAAATACTGAAATATTAACACAGTGGCAATAGCCAATAATAAATAATAATTAGCGTTCGATAATTGTAAGGTAGCTATATAATCAATGATTATGATTATGTGAAATGACGAAATATAATCACTATAAATAGTTATTAAAAGAAATAATCCTTTTTTTTTTTTTTGGTCCAGATAATTGGAGTTCTACTGTATTCAATTCAATTATTTTATAGTTTTATCTATTGATTTTTTTAAAGTAGTTATATATATTGTAATACAAGTCAAAATATTAATTACATTATAATGAAATACCAAGTTCTATGTTATTTTTAATATTAAATATAATTAGCTTGGTTTTTAATTTTCATTAAATAATGATTTTTTAACTTAATTTTATTTAATTCTATCTATTCATTAATTATAAATATTTATTTGTAACTAATTATAATAATGTTATATTTATACCACCACTTTTATTACAAATAAAATGGTGCAAGAATATATTTCACAATATTTTCTTTCTGTTCTTTCCCAATGGAATTAGTTTTTTGGAATTTCAATTTTACATGTATTTTTAAATTAAATATAAAGAGATTAAACACCAGACAACGTTAATTGATTAATTAATCCAAAAATTTATATTTATATAAATAAGAATACAGTTTTATTTTGAAAAAATAATTGTGTATACATACTCTTAATTCTAGTTTGAAAAATTTATTATTTAAAAAAATAAAATAGGTAAGTATAAAGTTTACTATTTATCAATAATCTTGTCCAGTTCAGCTTTAGCCTTAGTGATTTCATCGATATTTTTCTCTATTTCTGCTTTACGAAATTCAATATCCTTTTTAATTTTTTCTACTTGCTGTCGTTGCTATTTAAAAAATATATTTTGTTAAATAACTAAAATTGTTAAATTAATGTACACATTACCTGTATATAAAAATATTCTTCTTCGTTAGCAGCTTCACGTTCACCCATAGCACCACCAGCTTCTCGGATAGAACCTCCACCACCACCGCCTTTGCCGGCACCACTGCCCAAATTACCCAAACCATTGCTTTTAAATCTGTTGAAACTGAACTCAAATAAACAACCGTAGAAAATAAATAAACTATAGCATAATACAATGGTAAAATTGAAAATGTTATATGAAAAACGTCTTACCTCATTGCTGATGTATTGATGGAACAGAGAGACTTCAAAGCCTTCGCTAAGTAAACGTTCATTACAATTTTGTAATGGACTAAGCTTTTAAAATATTTTGTATTTGAAATAGGTGTAGAGTTTCAACGACACTGTTACGTTGAAGGACTACGACGTATTTTAACGATAAATAGGTCTCGAAATTATTTAAGTTCTTCCGCTGTGTTTTGTATAAAAATTATTTATAAATTTCTACCAAAGTACGATGACGGGGAATATAACTAAACTAAACGTAAACAACGATTAAGGACGTATTGCGCAATATGATGCACCATGTAACTATTTTGTAACAGTCGTAACTTTACAGGTTTACTTTTAGGTAAACAAAAATAAAAGCATACTTAATTCCATAATACCATTTAACAATAAATATTATTGTAGATTTTTTTCCGTCAGCTGTCTTTTGTGATTAGTGATTACATATGTAGTTTTAACCACGAATTAAGGTATTCTTATAAACGTAAAAGAGAACAGGCCTTTTTTTATGATTTCATTTGTGATGACAGTATGTCACAGACACAATTTATTATTAAACATTTTTTCACAGATTTGTTTAAAATACCTTCCTGAGTGTCACCACGTCGCCCGTTTTTACATTTTTTTTGCCTGTGTGAAGGGGTGAGGGAGATTGCATAATGCATTTTGATCAGTGCTCGACTTGGGGGGGGACGCAGGGGGACGGAGTCCCTTAACTAATTTTTCAGAAATTCTAGCGTACCCCTACTTTTATTTTTAAGGGGAACGCACGGGACGCTGCATTATTATGCATTTTTATCAAAATGCACGAATCAAATCATATTTTTTTACCATAGATGTATTATTATTATTATTATTATTATTATCATTTAATTAATTATCTTTAATCATATTTCATAACCAATGTATCATTTATCACTAATTAGTTACCAGTACTTACCACTGTTATCATTATTCACTAATATTTGTTATCAATTATCAATTATCATAGATTTAAAGTTAGAAAGTTTTTAATTTTAAATTTTTAAACTGTTTTATTTCATTACTAGTTTTTACTAGAACAATTGTTACCTATTGGCTATTATATTATTAATACAATGACTAATAAAAAGAGACCACGAAGTGATTTATTTTCATATTTTAAAAAACAGATGAAAGTAAGTAGATAATCAATAATTACTCAAACACTCAGTAACGACAGTAATTTATTAAAATTTTATTCTTAGATTAAGAAGGTATAAATAGTAAATAGTAGTATACTTGGTCACTAGGTACAAGGTACTATATTATACTTTATAATACTTATAAAAGATTCAGAAAAATATATTTGAACACAACATATCTACAGATACTTATTCTATCTCTAATTTTTTTAATATTCTAGATGAGTTTTGATAATGTTAATAATACAGAAAATACTCAAATAATTACAAGTACTTCAAATTCAGATATTGACGTAGTAATGCCACAACAGGTGATTAAGAATAATATATTATTTTTAATTTGTTACAATGTTAGTAAAGATTTTTTTTTTTAAATCTATTTAATTAATTATATGGTTGGTTATAGACTATAGTTTCATGTAATTAATAATTACACGTTACATAATTGTACAAAACAATATACTGATATGCCCAAACTTGTAGACCTCCATGTAAATAATGGTTTGGAAATGGGTCGCATTTTGCAAACTGATAAGGCTTGTAGTAACATAATAGACCATATATCTTCAGAAATGCGGAAAAAAATTTGCAAAGATATAGTAGATAATGGAAGAAAATTATGTATAATTGTGGACGAATCTACTACAATCAGCAACAAAACTATGCTGGTAATTTGCTTAAAATCTGCTATTGCTCACGAAGAAGACATAATAACTTTCTTTTTTGACATAATTGAATTACAAAACACATCTGCAAGTACAATTTATGCTGCTATTATTGATGATCTATCAAAATATGGAATCAACCATGAATATTTAAAAAAAAACTTGGTTGGTTATAAATATTTTCTAAATTATTTAGAGAGGAATAATAGGGGGTATGGTAACGTGCGGCTTAGTAACGTTTAATAAGTGATGGGGACGCTCTTTTTTTTATAGTAAACAGAGTCCCTCTACTTTAATTTTGCCAAGTCGAGCACTGATTTTGATTGTTCCTATTTAGTGACGACACTATTTAACATTTTTCCAATTATTTTACACAAGGTTGTATTAAATATTCCTACAAATGATCTATTATTCACAATTGAATTTTAATCGTCATTACGGTAATTTTGAAAAAGCAAAAACTACGCGCGGTTGAAGCCGGGTGATACAATTATTTTCTTTTATAGTGCTATATAATATTATATAGTATGTCAAAGCCCATAGGTCTTATACGAATGTAACCTATAAGTTGTAAGGTCTGTGTGTAGTGACTAGTGAGTACTATACTACTATTAGTACTATTGTACATGATTGTCGATTGAAATAATTGAACTATTAATCATAAACAGTATAAACTTTAGTTTGGTCATATTATTCAGTTATCTATGAATAATGAATAGTTCGCAGAACAAAAAAGGTGGCCGGCACGAATCTAGCGGCAGTTTTGCACTTGTGATCATAGAAACACAATATTCCGTGCAAGTGCGCGACCATTGACTACTATGCAATGCAAACATTGCAGCTGCAGCGGCGCGGTGCAGTTTGAGGACCCATGGGCCATAGCTGTTAACATACGATCCATGATGGTCACCAGCACGGTTAGCTCGCAGTCGAATTAAAGATATTAATAACTTTATTAATTGGTGTGTGTGTGTGTGTATACGCGTATACTCTGTGCCCTGTGGTCGAACGACCCGCAAGCAATTATTATTGTTATTAATACCTATTAATTATGTTGCGTACCTAAAATATTACAATTGAGTTGTTAGATAATATTCATTTTATTTTATAAAATCTATAAAGATCAATAAGGAACTAAAGGAACCATTATTTATAAATGTTAAGACATATTTGAATAAATGATAATCTTATTTAAATTTTAAAATTTTAAATATGAACATGAAGTTTGGGGGTCCAAACACTCCAAACTAGCCGACCTGCGGTCCGGGCTAGTCCGACCCTGGTAATAACAATAAGTAAAAAGTAATTACTGTACATAAAAATATTCAAAATCACTAATACTATTGTTTAATGGTATTACACAATTGATAAAAAACAATAAAATTGTTAGTATATTTATTTTATAAATTAATAATTATATAATTTACAAAATTTGTACTTTCACTTTTAAAATTAAAAATTATAATACTGGGGATTGGTTGCTCATAACAACAATAATATATATTTAATAGTATTTGATTAAAATAATAAAAATAATTCTATAAAGTATTCAGCTTGTTAATTAATAAAATATAAATACAATTACTTATTTATTAGGTAATTATAATTATCTCTCTTAGTAAATAATATATATACATAATATATTTGGAATGAATGCAAATGAAATATTTTCTGGAAATAAATTGGTGCAGAATATAGAATTTAAAGTAGTCTCTAAAGATATTATTATCTGAAATAAAACAGTCTAATCAAAATAATGAATTTGATTCATCAATATGTAATGATATTAATGAGTACATACAAATTGTATTAACAGATTGTCAGATAATAAAGATTAAAGAATGGTAAGTGTTAATAATAATTTGTTATAACATATAACTCAAAATATTTAGAGTAGTAAATTTTAAGTAGGTAATATAAAAATAACAGTAGATGATAAAAAAATGCTTCAGTCAATACAAATGATAAATAATGAAGATTATTATAAACAAAAAATGCATACATTTTTGGTTTTAGAATATTGAATTAAAATACAAAAAGGAATCAAAAGAATTAGAAAATATAAGATTGGAACAGCAAAGAAAACAAACTAACTTAAAAATAATAAATTCCATTATGAATTATCATAACGAAGAAATTAAACAAAAAATTCAATTTTACAATGACAATATTATCCAACCTCTTGAACTTAAGTAATTATTATTTATTTTTAAAACGATATTAACTTAGAACCATAAAATGTCCCCTCCAATATTCTTTAAACCTTATGCATTACTCTAGTTGGTATAATTGCTGAGGAGCGTTTTTTCAACTTATACAGAGATTACATAATATTATATTATTATATGATTATAACTTATAACTTATAAAAGTGCAGCGGCAGCTCGTGGTGTTCAAAATGAACGGTGTGCAATTATTGCAAAATTTATTAGAAAAAATATCTAAAATATTATTATAGTACCTACAATATGTATTGAAATATTTATACAAAATTATAAAAAATAATTTATATACCTACGAATATAATACCTAATAATATGCGTATATTAATTAATAAATAAAAAAAAAAATTAAACATTTTTATGCATTTTTAATAACCGATATGGAACGCTGTGACTACTCCCACTTAATGGCCTAACAAATTTACACAGAAAAACGGTGTTGTGTTCTGACTGAGCTACACAGTACACACCAAATGATTTGTATTTATTACATAACTTTAATAAATTGTAGGAGTAATATTTTCGGGTATAAAAGCGAACATAATTTATTTTTAAATTTATACAATATTATACAATAAATTATTATAGTTAAACTTAAATTGTATAAAAATTGTGTAAAAAATTAAAAATCCATTTTTGCTATTTTATTTGTATTAATTAATGTGGTGTGCGTACACTTGCACACCTAGGCGCCACTGTAAAGTGTATGAATAGTATTAATTTATGCATTTTGAATTAATTTAATATTACACTTAAATATAATATAATTGTATTTGGTAAGTTATCATACAAATTAGATATAAATACATTAGTATAGGCATTAGTATTACTTACAACTTATACTTGGGAATAACTGCTGTACATCTTATATAGGTACACAAAATACAAATGCTGATCATTTATTACTTTATAGTTTCTATAATTTGGTATTTTTCACAAGCTGATTGTCGAATGTGTGAATGCTCCTTTCTTCTTCATCTAATACATTTTAAAATTCCCTTTCACTGATCTAGGTCTAATTCTTCCTTTGTTGTCCTACTCCACAACAGCAACTATGGTTGAAATAATCCAATACTCCGTATAATGTGTATGACTAACGAGAAGTGAACACCTAAACTTTACTTAAGTTTTTTCTTTTGTTATATAGTACTTTAATTTGTGTATTATCATTTTTAATTTTTATAATTATCATTTGTTGATTTGATCCATATTAATGCTTGTTTAGTTTAATTACTATGTCTTATATTGTTCAATTTTTTTTTGATTCTATAGATTGTATTATTCTATTAGGCTCTGAGCCCGTTAATAATTATAAATAAATGATTTAAATAAAATATAATGTAGGCAGCACCGAGTATACTATTTTTTTGTACTATTTTTACTTCAAATATACGATCGACTATCGATTTAATAACTAAATACTTAAAAATGAATGTATAGTACAATATTAATTATATTATGTATAAAATAGAAACAATTAAAAATTATTTGTAGATTATTGTTTAATTATTAATCGAGTTAAACATAAAAATATGACGTTATGAATATATTTAAAGTAAAAGTATTAGAATATTTAAAAAAAAATTGTAAAATTTATGTTATGATATTTGTAAATTCTCAGTTGTCTAAAAATGGTTTTATAAGTATAATAAAAATTATTATTTTATATTACATGCAGATTAGAAAAATATATTTTACTCGTCGAATATGAAAAAAATAGAAATGATAATATAAACATCACTAGTATAGTAGTTTGTTCCGGATTTTAAAGAAAAAATTGTGAATTCTAAATTACAAATCGAAAAATTAGATGTTAGTCATTAATGAATTAAACATTGCAGTTCTCTTTTAACTTGTAAATCTAAAATTCTTAATTTTTATTTAGAAAACTTTAAGTGTGCAGTATGGAACAATGACAAAACTTGAAGAAGATTATAAAAACATTCAAATGAATATTTTACGCCAAGTGGAAATGTCTTTAATTAAAACAGAAAATTTCATTGATATTTTTGATGGTATTTTGAACTATAGGTCAGTCGTCAGTGTATATTTTTGTACCTACATAATATTATAACTTATATTAGTGGATATCTCGTTAAAATAATTTTTTACACTAAATCAATTATTATGAAAATTAATTTAGGATGAAAATGTTGAATATTGTTGAAATGAGAGAAAAAAATTTAATTTTAGATAGTAAGGTATTTCAAAAACGGTACGAAATAAAGAAAAAAAGAGAAGAATGTTTAGAAAAAGAAAAAGATTTGATGTCACAGTTAGATAAATTAAAACAATTGGTCCGTGAACAAGCAAAATATAATAAACGGTTGTCTCAGCAGTATATTAAGCTGACAAACAAATAAAGTTATACTTAAATATTTATTTTTTACTAAAATTAAAAAAATATTTACAATCTATTTAATAAATAGCAATACAATGATTAAATTTATTTTTAAATAAATACAAAATACATAAATTGAGAGATATTATGATATATGTATTTGATAAGAAACTTTTCCGCCGTAATGTATCATGGGATTGTATGGATCGTCACGTAACCATTCTATCCTCAACCGTGGTCACCAGCCAGATTTCATGTCGCTGATTATAATGATTTCTCTTATCATCAGTTATCGAGGAAAGATAAGAAATTCGGTTTTTTAGAATATTCGTAATAGTAACTTGTGTGTTGTGTAGTTGTCTTATAAATTTGTCACTTGTCAGTCGATTATTATTCTACCAACGGTACTTTCTTCCGGCTACCGGTAGCCAGACTCGTATTCATAAACATTCACCACTTTACTGTACATTTATAGTTTATACTATTTTACATGAATATAATCTAATTAAAAAGCTCAACACGTGTGATGTGCAGTCAAATTGAAAAGAAAATTACTTAAGCTTTCAAGGAATACAGTGATGAGCATAATAAATTCGATTCGTAGATTTATATTTCGTCTACCTGGCAAACGATTTGGATATTACAGGTAAATATTTTATGTTTTTATACATCAGTGAAAAATAAGAACACTTCAATTTTTTAGAGCTATTCCGATATTCGTGATCGCCGGTGCGGGTGTAGAATATTTGATGATAACTTGGCGTCCATTTGGTGTAAATTTTTATGAAGTATATAAACGCAAACAAGCCAAGGAAATAGCTGCAAACAGATTAAACGAAGAATCCTAATGTCAGGAAATATATCAATTGCCACTTATGTGAAATTTTCACTAATGGCGTTAACCTCTATGATGTTTGGATCACAACTTGTTCACAACCGATACAAGCCATTAGACGATTTAGAAGATTACGTTGAAAAAGAAATGGAAAAATTAAATGCTGCTAAAAAATTTAAAACATAATGAATTGAAAGGATTATTTAGTGATATTTACCTAGTTATTTTGTGATAATTATTTATTTATGAATTATAATAAAAAATGAAAATGATTTAATTCAAATCATTAAAAGTAATAACATTTTAGAATGACCTGATCATACATAATTCGTTTATGTTATCCAATATGCACAGTCATCTCTATTTTTAATACTTTTTTGCTATTATTATTATGAACCAGTCACAGAAAATGATAAATTACTGATTTTATACAAAGCTCCTCACAAATTATTAATTTTTCAAGTGAAAAGAATCAAAAATATACAAATTATTTTAGTTTGAAAATTTAATAAAAAATTTCTCATGAGTTAATTAATACTGGGAACCATAAAATCTGAAGAATTTATAATAACAATTCATTTTGATAAAAATTTGAATAACACTTATTATTTAAACAGTAAATAACAATATTAACTATAGTTATTATTTAAAAATATTATTTGTAGGAACTTAAAACTTTTAAATATATTATACTACTATGAATTTTATTAATGCAATAACATTTTTCATTTATTATTTTATGGTACCTATTTTCAGAAAGTCTTTAATATATTTTGAGTTATATACATTGAAAGTATATGGTAAAAATATATATTATAACTAATAAATAATAATAATGTAATAAATGCAATATTTTTGGAAATCATTATAACCTACAGTAAAATACCAAAAAATATAAAAAATACTTAGTGATAAAAGCTGATTAGACTTGGTCATTGAATTCAAATTTAACAAATCCACTATAATGACCCCCTCAACACCTAAAATGTATAACAGATTAGTACCAGTTTGCCTACTTTTTAAAAATTATTTTTAATAAAAATTCCAAATTAGTATAAGTCATTTTTAGTTAAATATTTTATTGGGATAAAATCTAACTAAACTTAGACAGCAAGTTATTCAGAATCTTACATAATAATTAATATATCTTATTGTTATAGTTGCTCTATAGGTTTCCTATTAGTACAAAATTGTTTTCAAAGACATGTAAATAGTGAGTAGTCTATTTAAAACATAATAGACTTCAGATAACCTGAAGATAAATTTCAAACAACTAAAATACACTTGCCTCTAATTATTTTACTGATCAAATAAATAACAATTATATAATCTATTTATTTTTTTATTTATTTTTTTTTTTTCATTATAAATAATATATCATCATTATTTTTGACATTCATACAAATATCATTGCTCATAAATGTATGAGCAATACAATACAAAGATATTTATAGTTTTACAGTATTTAATAAGCCTAGTTCTAGAAAAAGGCTTAACATCTCAACAGTTTAAATCTACCCTTACAGACCTAAGAATGCAGTTTTAAACTGTGCGTGTAAAATTTAGTACGAAAAAAATCCAAATTCAACTAATTTTAAAAGTTTGCGAACAAACAATTGACTAAAAATATATGCAAAGAATATAACAAATCAAGATTATCTGCTTTTACCAAAACATATAAATGTAGTACTTAAAATTGATCTAGTAAAACAATGGTAATAAGTTTATATTGAGATCAATGTTTTTACCAATCATAAGTTTTAGAGAAAAAAACAAAAATATCTCATACACAAATATAACTACATATACATGTTACATTCTGATACAAATCGGTCTGCAAGGGTAAGAATAGTCAAGGTTTTACATTATTTATACTATATATAATTATTTTATAATTTACTTATGTATAAACCTTAATTTACAGATTAATAGGGATGCCCTTTATATATATATTTATATAAATTTACAGCGAGCTTAATTTTATTTAGACATTCTAATTAGACAAAAAAAAAAAAAAAAAACTCACAACCGATAATATCTAATTTTATCCTGATTATTTTTTCTCACAAGAAAATTTCTGTAAAAAAATTCCATTATGTGGATAGTTTTCCCAAAATTTACTTATAAAGTACAGCTATAGTTACATAATGATTTCATTTTTGTAGAAATTTCGTCCATTTCAAAAGGAATTAAAAATGTAAGTTACTTTCAAGTTATGGAAGACTATACCTACAACTTTATTAATACTATACTTATGACACAGTTGTCAGATATTGGACGGAGGTAAACTGTGCCAGTAGAGTCTATCGGATTGGTTGTGGTTCATTAGCAGAAGCTGCTGCTGCAGTAGTTGGATCATACTCCATAACTTCTTGATAGATAAGTTCTTTCCATTGATCAACAGTATGTTCACGTTCATCAACTGAATGGTCCCATGGTCCTGGTGCTGGTGCATTTACTTCACTTTCGTCATACCAAACATTTATATATGGATGTAGCAATGCATCGTCCACAGATATACGCTTCTCTGGATCAATAACTAGCATTCTAGACAAAAGGTCACGAGCTTGGCTTGCTATATCATATCAGTTAAAATTAATTTAGAATTTATTAAGTATAAAATAAATTAACATAAAATCAGTATACATATATTAAATATTTAAAGAAGAATATACATTTTGAAGATTTGTACATATTTTATTATATATGTGTTATTAATTAATATTACCTTTTAATTTATTATGTTCAGATGAATCTGATGGAAATAGTACATCAGGGAATAATCGATCAAATGAATAGCCCGGATAACGAGGTCTATTTTCAACATAATTTCTAACAGTTGGTTGTAATCTCCTCATAAATTCTTGTGATGGCGTGCCCAATTGTTCTATAATTAAAATTATAATTGATTATATTATTATTAGTTTAAATACTACTTTAAATTTAACTGGTAAAAATATTTTATCTACCTATAATTTTATTCCATTGATCTATATGATCAGTTCCAGGAAATAAAACACCACCTCTTATCATCTCACCCATAATACAACCTACTGACCAAATGTCAACATTTTCCTTATAACCCATACCTAAAATTACCTGTAATAGATATCATGGATAAAACTTTATAAGTATTAATTATTTTATGATCTATAATAATAATGCAATATTACTTCTGGAGCACGGTAGTATCTAGTAACAACATATGGCGTCATCATGAAAGTAGTTCCAGCTGTCCGAGCTAATCCAAAATCCAAAATCTTTAATGTGCAGTCAGATTTAACAACAATATTACTAGGTTTAAGGTCCTAAAATAGATAAATCATTAAAATCAAATCCATTAATTAAAAATGATATTAAATATTTATAATACAAACTCTATGAATAATTCCTGCTGAATGTAAATGTTTAATGCCACATAACATTTGGTATAAAAGATATGACATTCGTTCATGATCAAGATCCATTTGAATCACCTGGCATAGATTAGCATCCATTAATTCCATTACCAAGTACACATCTTGGAAATCATCTAATGTCCTTTGTGGTGTGAAAGCATTAAGTAAACCAATAATCTAATAATCAAAAATATTTTATTCTTATAAATAATTTACGGCTATAATTAATTGAAAGATTCAGTACAAAATCTGGTTACAACCATTTTTTTTATGCATATTATTCTATTTTCTAACTAAGAATAATTATGGTGTAATAACTGAGTATTTCAGTACATTAGATAATTTAATACCGTACAAATTGATATGTCCGATACACAGAGTTTAGAGCAATAAAATTAGGTATTATTTTAATTTTATGCTTCCTAAACAATTTAAAAAACATGGTAGTAATCAGTTCTTATACAAGATTTTTCAGTTATTCTTTTTTTATTTAATTTTTTATACATACATTTTTATGATTTACTAATTTCATAAGTTTGAACTCTCTATATGCTCTTTTAGCATGCGTTACATTTTGAAAGGGCCTGGATAGTTTTTTAATTGCGACACTTTGTTGTGTAATAGTGTCCATAGCAGCACTATAGAAAATTAAAAATTAGATAAATCTAGTACTAGTAAAATTGTCATAGTACTTACACCACCATGCCCTGAGCACCTAAACCTTTGGGCACAAGATCAACATATCGTCTGGGAACTGAAAATTCAGTATCACCAAATACTAACGTGTAGAACATATCAGCTAATTCAGTCATAGTGTCTGGTTTATTTTGAGGTCTTTGAACAAACCTTGATTGTGTTCCGAGCATTTTGTGGACAACCTCAAATTCAACTTTACCAAACACAAAAAAAAAAAAAAAAAAATTGTGCAACTACAGAAAAATAAATGCATATAACATAAAATTATAATAATACATTCAAGCTATTCATGCTTTAAAAATAATTTTAATACATACTAATTACAGCATCTAACTTAACATAAAGCACAAAATACGTGGAATTTCACTAATTAAGTAATATAGGTATTTACTATTTATCACAATATCAATAGTTTCAAAGTTTAATATGTTAACATAACTTTACTAAATAGAGAATTAATCTCATGGAGTTATTATTAGCCAATAATCAATTTATGTATTATAAATTTTAAACTAATTTAAATATCTTTTAAAATTTAATATATTTTTTAATATAGATTTAATTAAAAAGTATAGAAGTTCAATTATTTGTAATTATAAATATCTAAATTCATTATTTATTAAAACATTTAAATGCTATAGTGTAAATAAAATGTAATTTTTATTTTTTACAAACAGAAATTCTATATACCAGAATACTATTTAATTTCATAGCAGTTATTGACATATTATATAATATATTCTATGAACTGCACAGGATAAAATTATATGTTTAAATTTTAAACATAATACATTGGTGTTTATATATAGGTATCTAAAACTTACAACGATAAACAAATAAACAAAAACTAATAAATCATATTTACTACACAATATAAGAATGTACATGCCATACCTATTTGAGATTTACTAGAATATGCTTACCAAACTATGCCTTGTGCTCCAGATCCAATTGGTTTTAAATTTTGATATCGTTTCAAAATAGTGAACTTTGTATCGCCCACCTCCACCGTAAAGAAAATGGAGGAGGACACTCTAGATGTCATCCTAGGGTTAATATGAGGCATACGACCAAAGTTTTGTTCTTAGAAGCCAAAATGATCAGTAATATAATTCACACAATATATGTAATAGAGTTTTAAGTTTTTACTCAATGTAGAAGAAATTCATTCACTTATTTAAATAAGTTT